CCAACCCCTGGTTACATTTCCTTCTCAGTAATATAGGGCACCAACCCCTGGTTATATTTTCTTTTCAGTAATACAGGGCGCCAAACCCAGGTTACATTTCCTTTTCAGTAATACAGGGCACCAACCCCTGGTTACATTTCCTTTTCAGTAATACAGGGCACCATCCCCTGGTTACATTTCCTTTCAGTAATACAGGGCACCAACCCCTGGTTACATTTTGTTTTCAGTAATACAGCGCACCAACCCCTGGTTATATTTTCTTTTCAGTAATACAGCGCACCAACCCCTGGTTATATTTTCTTTTCAGTAATACAGAGTACCAACCCCTGGTTACATTTTCTTTTCAGTAATTACATTCTTTTTCTGTAATAGAGGGTACCAACCCCTTGTTACATTTCCTTACCAGTATCAGGGTACACTAATCCCTAGTTGTGTTTTTCGACATAGGGTCACCACTCCCTAATCTCATTACCGGTATAGGATACACCAATCCCTAGTTGTATTTTCCAACATAGAGTATACCACTCCTTAATTGATTTGATCTTAAATGCACGGTACACCACTCCCTGATACTATTACCAATATAGGGTACACCAATCCTTAACTGTGTTTTCCAGCATAGGGTACACCACTCCTTAGATGATTTGATCTTAAATGTAGGGTGCACCACTCCCTGATATTACTGCCAATATAGGGTATACCATTCCCTGGCCACATTCTTTCAACATAAGGTACATCAATCATTAGTTGAGACATCTTTTTGACAATAAAGGCACACCATCCCTTCATCATGATCTTTTCAGGGTACACCATTTTCGATCTTTTATTGCTTTCAATAAAGAAGTAGTTTAGAATTTTGTTACAATAACTTACGAAATTTTTCTAGTGAAAACTGGGGCAAAAAAAAATTTCGTTTGTTTGTTCGTTTTGGTGTCTCAGCAGGTTTACCTTGAGGTACATGGTTCAAGATGACCAAAAGAAGAATTCTCAATCCAAAATAACGAAAAGAAAAGAAAAGAAGTGAATCCAAATGGAGAAACAGATGGAAAGGATATGGACGGCTCAAGACATGACTGAAGTTATGAGCTTTACATTTCCCTTCTTGATCAGAAGAAGCCGTAGAAGAATGAACTAGCATTTGCAGCTAGCAAGCATCAAGATTCAGATCAGAGTCTGCGTGAAGAACCAGTCAAGACTCAAGATCAAGTTTTAGAAGACTTATAGATAGGAATCTTGTAACTGATAGATGATAGGCTTGTTTAGTTTCTTTTGATTTTGATGTAATAACAGGACTATATACCGGAGCCTCGATGGAACCTCACTCGTCTCTCCAACTCAGCATTCCATCCTTTTCCTTGAACTACACGCGACCTGATTCCCTTATAATTCGGGATATGTAGGCTATCTAAAACCAAGACTCGGTTGCACTTTTTTCTCTTATCACTTCCCTTTTGAATAATGGTATGGCCAAAAGTAGTCATATCGCTTATCTTTTCTTTGCCTGAAAACTCTTCATGTTTTCAAGCAAAAAAGAGCATGTTGTGAGCACTTAATTTTGACCATATTTATACTTTCACCACTTTTTAGTATTTAAATGATTTTAAGTTTAATCTTTATATTTTAGCTTTTTTTCGTTTTTAGTAGATTTATTTAATAAAATTTAAAACTACAAAATTAGTCACACTTCTTGTATTTTCTCTTAGGTCTACCTATTCTTGATCTTTCTACATTTTTTAAGCTAAGCATTTTATTAGTTTTAAAACAAATAACAAACAAAAATGAAGAAAAAAAATAAAATCAATTATTTTTTGCCAACTCACATAAAAAGTTTGGTAACAAACTTCTTATTTCAAAAAAAGAATCTCTTAGGTCTTACCAGTACAATTTTGAATGCACATGCACACACTTCTCACAATTTTTTTATGTCATTCCCCATTCCCCACAAAATATTTTCCTAGATAAGAACTTCTCTCACTTTATCCCTTTTTTCCATCTTCCTCATACCACACATTCACTTTATCCCTTTTTTCCATCTTCCTCACACCTCACATTCACTTTATCCCTTTTCCCCCAACTCCCTCAGGTGCACACACTCACTTTTCACTACTCATCCTTGGCTCACTCATAAATTATTTCTCACAACTCATACTCACACTCTTTCTCTTTAACAACTCACACCACCCGTGTCGTTTACATATATAAAAACACTCTATCATACAGAGGAGGAGAACGCTACTGACTAAAAAGAAGAGCAGACATTCTGAAAAGAAAAAAAAAACGAAGCAACATCAACCATAAACCTAGCTCCAAAACAGTCCATAAACCACCCTTAAACTAATCTGAGAGCACCAAAAGAGGTCCTTTGTGAGTCTGGGTTCGTAAGCTTTTATTTGAGGTTGCCGTTCGATTTCCGGTCTTGTGGTCGAGGTCCTGGTTTTCGAATTGTTGTTCAATCCGTTCAATCAAAGAGCCTTTAAAATTTGAGTTTTGAGGTCCGCAATTCCTACCTTGTCTCTGATTAATGCACTTTTAGTATTCTACATGCTTTAAATAAAATAATATTCTTAATTCTCATGATAACATTTTCAACTTCTGAGCTTACATTTCCATGTATCTTCCTTTAGCATATTTTAAAGGGAAAAAAAACATATTTAGCCAATATTTAAGAAAATTTTACAGATTCCTAGCACTAATAAGTAATTGACAAATACGACACCTAATTAACTATATTTCTAACACTACCCTATAATGCTGAAACAATCATTCCCACAACTTTCTCTCCCTTAATTAATGCATTAGCTGCTCTCATTAACTGCTTTTAACTCTAATTATTATACTTATAATATATTAACTTTAATAATACATTATATTGTATAATTATTGACTACATGATGAATAGTAATGTTATATTTGAATATACATTACATTACTAGTATATATTCATAGCATCTTAATGGTGTGTGTGTATATATATATATATATATATATATATTGGAAACTAATTCATTCCATAACGGATTTTATACTTTCCATATATGGATCTTTTTACTAGAAAAGAGAGTGCTAGTACCTTTTTATACAACATAAATTCTAGCAAAAGTATACATCTTTATATTTTGAAAAAATAAAATACATATGTTTCATGAAAAATGTAATGTATATTTGAGGTATATAGACATTATAAACAATGTAATTTTATATAATTATTATACCTGGGAGTACTTTCTTATTGAAAAGATCAAAGGTATATTATTACATTAGTATTTCTTGAAATATCATTATACTAGTTATATATAATGTTATACCTTAATACCATTATTATACATTGTATTTCTCTAAAAATAATATTTTGCGAGATATATATAATATTATAACTCAATAAAATTATACCATGTATATTAATACATTAGTATACAAAGAAAGCTGCTATATACACTTTATAATCAGTAAATTATTTTCTTCTTCCATTCCTTATCGATTTTAGAGATTGTAGCGATGGAATCAACAATCTTAATGAGTTTTACCTTATTCTTTGCCATGTAATTTGCAGTTTACGATAAGAAGGGAAGAGGAAAGAGTTTTGGGTAAGATTTTGCCTTCGTTGATGAGAGAAGGAACGAAAAGAGTGAGATTTTGGGTTTGTGGTGATGGAGAGATTAGTGGAGAAAGAATCACTATAATTTTGAAAATTTGGTGGAATATGTGAGACTTTTAATCTCTAATACATCATCCCTGGAATCATGGGTCAGTTTTAAAAAATAAAGACTGATGGTAATGTATCAATTTTGAAATATGCTATATATGTAAATGAATGTGCTACATATGAAATAAAACAAAAGTAATATTGTTTATATAAATATTTGCTTACTAATGGCTCTACAACGTAAAAATCTCTATTTTAAATGGTGATTTGTCCTGTTTTTGATTCTGTCTTAATTTCCTTTCTTGTTCATTTGTTTAGTCTGACTTTATTCTGCATGTTTTATTAGTATCATGAATCTGGATCAAGATTGGGCCATCGTGCAGCTAAGATTATTGTAAATAAATGGGTCATATCTGCTACTTGGGATAAAAACAGAATTTGGGCCTAATTGAGTAATCTTAGATAATGTGGATTGGGCTTTAAGAATTAATGTAGTTAAGCAGTGGTTTGTAAAAGTTTTGGGGCCAACCAATTAAGCATTACTAAAGTTAGGTATAATCATTCCAATTGGACTCTCACATAATCTTAAACATAAGGAAAATAAATAATTCATGAACATTGTAGCATTCTTTTAGGCGCGATTAATAAAATAAATTACCATGACTATGAGTACGGTTTTCGTGATATAGCTATGATATGTAATCCCAAATTCGAGTGCACACTTGTGTGACTTTACCCCAACTTCAAAGCAATAATAAATTAAATATGTTGTAAATCGCGGGTGTGTTTCACGCGGCGCAGTTTGCAATGTGTATACAAAAAAAAAACGACAAGTGCCGTAACTTGTTTGAATAAATTCCATAATTATTTTAAAATAATTAAAAGCGGATAGGTAAAACATGAAAATCCAGTAAAACGCAGTTTATCCAAAATTAATTTAAGTCAAGTTTAAGTCAATAAAGCGACCGTGCTAGAACCACGGGACTCGCGGAATGCCTAACACCTTCTCTCCGGTCAATAGAATTTTTTACCCGGATTTTGTTTCGCAGGCCAATAATAAAAGAGTCATACCTTCCTTTGACTAGGGATTCAAATAAAAGGTGACTTGGAATACCAAAAATCAATTCCAAATGGCGACTCTAAATAATAAAATAATCCATACTTCAAAAATGTTATTTTAATTGAAAAAACTCTTTAACCCATCAATCTATAACATATATCTTTTGGGGTAGAAAAGGAATATGACACTCTTATACGCTATAAGCCCAAGAAATGCTATAGCACGCTTAAAACAACACGTGAAAAATCTTTCTTTCCTGAACTCTCTGAACGGAAGGAGTATCTTATTTATTGACCAATAATTGATGGAAAAATAATATTGACTTTGAAATATCAACTCACTATTTGATATAAATATAGGATTAATTAAAACTAATTTGCAAACCTGGGGTGACATTGATGTATGCATCGTACATGTGATCTCCAATAAATCCAGGGATCCAAGCTATAATTCGAGGGATGCCACTATTAATCAAGAAATAGCCCTCGGTATCTGTTTGATTCCAAAACTGATAACCCCGAAGAAGAAAAAATACGTAATGTTTTTTTAATTACAAGTAAAAGCTGTAAACTACAAAGAATGTAGTAACCACAAAAGGAGAAAAGAGTTAAAAAATAAAAATAAAATTTTGACCTTGTTTTCCATTTGCCATGATCCAACATCTCCTGGAACAGCTAATCCAATGAAAGCAGAGTTTGCAGTAATAAGCTTTTCACTTACATAGCTGCAACAAAAAGAATTCTAGTTTCTTGATCACCATTTAAAATTTAGTCATTTTCTTATATTATATTAGAGATATTTTAAGTAAATGTAACTGTCGCGAACGAGTAATCTGTTAGTTACAATGCCCCGTTGATAAGATCGAACAAAATCCTCGGAAAGAGGAAAATCATATGGCCAATTTTCAGTTTCTATGAACATTTGTTCATTTGCATCAGTCCATAGTGTAAGAGTGTCTAGCTAATCAGGTGAAAGAGAGTTTAGGTAGGTAAAAACAGGGCCAAACACCTTTTTCGAGGGCTCTCCTTCTCTAAATTTCAACCCCAACATCTCTCCAGCATAATGTGTACTAAAGAACATCTGTTAAATAAAGTATTAGAATTGTGTACTCGATAAGTAAGTAATCTGGTCCGTGTTTGACCAGAAGGATTACGTTCAGTACTCCACATTAACGACAGAAAATAGGATAGATCAAATTCACTGAGTTTGACTCATAGTGATCATTTATCAATACTTAATAATAATTTGGTCCGTATTTGACCATATGGATCACATTTTTCTTCTTAGGTCATATTTTATTATTATCGGGAAAAAAATTAAGCTTAATCTGTACCCAATTCACTTTGAAATTCATAGTTTTTGCACAATAAAAATGACAGCAGTTTATCGAATTAGATGAAAATTCAATCGGAAAAATAGAAAAAATCATGTTTTAATTTTTATATATGGATAAGTTGTAAAAGTTGTGCAGGCTAGCCCGTATTGGACCGATTTTTGAAAATTAGCCAGAGCTTGAAAATACGTTGAAAAGTAAACACCATAACAGTGTCATGGATTTCAAACTTAAACAAGTGAAACATCCGAGATAATGCCCAGATTTTTGAATGCTGGCTATTTTTCAATGATTGTTGGCTATTTTTCAATTACAAGTCTAGAAAACGGCTATTTTTGGACTTTACCCGGAAAAGTTACTTACATTGAGGTTTACTGGGCCGGTATGAGAAGTAAGGTCTTGTTTGAGAGGCCCACCAGTTCTGAATTCATCGGTCGGTGTGAGTGAAAATGGCGTGTGGTAGCCACTAAATAAGGTGGTGTTTATTTTTTATCCACCAATTCTAATGTTGAGCAAAAAAAGCCACTACTCTATTAAAATTAATATGAAAAGATATTTTTACCCTTTCTTCTATTTTTTTTATTCCCAAACCCTTCCTTTATACACTTCTCTCATTTAAGTTCAGAGCCAAAATTTCATAGGCAAAATTTCGCTCCCTTAATATCATTCCTGCATGCAACTCTCTTCTCTCGATTGAAGTTCAGAGCCAAAATTTCATAGGCAAAATTTCGCTCCCTTAATATCATTCCTGCATGCAACTCTCTTCTCTCGATTGAAGTTCAGAGCCAAAATTTCATAAGCAAAACTTCGCTCCCTCAATATCGTTCCTGCCCAGCCCACAACAATTCTCTGCGTATACTTTGTCCAACTTAATCTCTTCTCCTTTGTCATCTTCTCTGCAGCGAACCAACGTACTGGTATATTTTCGATTTTGCTTTTATGCACTTTTCTTTTTGTATATCTCTAATCGTGATCAATGTTGTATTTGTCATCAAGTATATGTGAAATGTCCAAAATAATGATTATAACTTGATTCGCTGAGGAATAAGGTGTAGATTTTTGTGAGAAAGTTATTGAGAACCTTTTGGTATTGAAATGTGTTTGTGGTTCAATCAATATATTGATTATGTAAGGACATTTCAGAAAAATAGTCCTAAGAATTTGTAAGCTAACTGTGTTTAGAAATTTTAGTTAACTGTGCTTCTATTAAAGATGCATCTAATTAGGTCTTGGATTTTAGTTTTTTAGTTTAAATATTAAGGACATTTCAGAAAAATAGTCCTACGAATTTGTAAGCTAATTTTAGTTAATTGTGCTTCTATTAAAGATGCATCTAATTAGGTCCTGGATTTTAGTTTTTTAGTTTAAATATTAAGGACATTTTAGAAAAATAGTCCTAAGAATTTGTAGGCTAATTTTAGTTAATTGTGCTTCTATTAAAGATACATCTAATTAGGTCCTGGATTTTAGTTTTTTTAGAGAATTTGTATGCTAATTTTAGTTAATTGTGCTTCTATTAAAGATGCATCTAATTAGGTCCTGGATTTTAGTTTTTTAGTTTAAATATTAAGGACATTTTAAAAAAATAGTCATAAGAATTTATAAGCTAATTTTAGTTAATTGTGCTTCTATTAAAGATGCATCAAATTAGGTCCTGGATTTTAGTTTTTTAGTTTAAATATTAAAGACATTTCAGAAAAATAGTCCTAAGAATTTGTAAGCTAATTTTAGTCTATTGTTCTTCTATTAAAGATGCATCTACTTAGGTCCTGGATTTTAGTTTTGTAGTTTAATTATTAAGGACATTTCAGAAAAATAGTCCTAAGAATTTGTAAGCTAATTTTAGTTTACTTCTCTTCTATTAAAGATGCATCTACTTAGGTCCTGGATTTTAGTTTTGTAGTTTAAATATTAAGGACATTTCAGAAAAATAGTCCTAATGTTTACGTTCTATTTCCTTCTTTGTAGTGTGCTAATGGAAGGAGATCGTGTTTTCGAGTTTGATGATTGGCGTAATTCGATGAGCTATTGGAAAAGAGATTTTCAGTATAAGGAAACAATAAAAAGTTTCTTGCCGAACACGCAATGGAAGAAGTTGAGGGATGGTGTTTTCGGAAACTTTTTCCGATTACAAGGTGTGAAGTTCTGTGGTAGACTTATTCATTGTGTGTTGCTTTCAGAAATCGTAAGCAATGACTCACATTCAATGACATTCAAGGTTTTTGATCATGAAGTGAAGTTTACACGTGAAGCGTTCCAGATAATTACTGGGTTGAAATATTCTTCTTCAGTGGACTTCAAAGTTTTACATGAAAGAGAGAATAGGCTTTCGAAAGTCCACTTCCCTGGAAAGGATAGAATCGAGTTAGGCGATTTGTGGTATTTTATTACTAGTCACCCATATGGTACAACTGCATCATTTGTAGGCGGCCATGACGATGCAGTGAAGTTGGCAATAATTTATTTTGTTGAATCTGTGTTGATGGGGAAGCGCAAGAATCGGAATGTGTCTGAGCGGGTAATGAAAATCGTAAATGACGATGAACTCTGCTCTTCTTTCAATTGGGGCTCTCTTAGTTATGAAAAGTTACTAAAATCATTGAAGAGCTGCTTGAAGCCCAAACAAAATACTTTAGACAATGAGAATAAGAATGAGAAAGAGAAATATAAAGAGAAGGACAGTTATACTATACTTGGCTTCCCTTTCGCCTTCTATGTTTGGATTATGGAAGTATTCCCAAATTTTCAGGAAAAACAATTTGTGAACTTCAGAGAATGTGGGTTCCCTCGGATGCTATGTTATTCAGATATGAAATCTCCACA